ATTTTCTTACCCTAGACAGTGAAGGCCATTCGGCCGCAGACAGACACTGGCATCCCTCGTCCAATTCTGTTTGCCCACCTGTTATGTGGCGCGATCCCCTTACAAATAAATGGAAAGGCCCAGATCCTGTCCTCATCTGGGGACGAGGCTCAGCTTGTGTTTTGGACCAAGAGCAAGCAGCCCCAAGATGGTTACCAGAACGCCTGGTTAAACAGGTTAATGACTTACCTCAACCCAGGGACAGAGGCCCTCCCCCTGAGGACAAAGTTTCCTCTTTTGCAGATGCAGCCAACAATCTGTGTGAGGATCCTGCTTAAGGCACTTCTGCTGAACAGGTTTGTATACGGAGGCCTAGCCCTCCACCTTCCAACATCAGGGAGTACCTTTTTGGCCCCTCCTGCAAATGCAGGGGAGGATCTTGGACTCAGGCTCCCACTAGTTGGACCCAGACTGCTGACTGCGTGACTAAGGTGGCTTACCTCCATGCCGAGGTTGACCATAAACTCGGAGGAGTTCATCAGCCTAAATGGGTATGTGTTAACAAGCCAAAGATTATTCCCCCCAGTACAAGTAAAGCTCTCCAAAATTGTTCTGCAACTTGTACACATACCCAGGCGATGCATATCTCTTGTTATGAGTCAGCCTCAATTTGTGTTAACAAGCAGGGAGAACAATTTTTTGAAGCCACCCTAACTAAAACTCATGCAGCAGAGGGGACCACTATTCACTATACTCCCGTTCTCTTTGACCGGGGAGGAGAAGGCATATACACCAAGTTACAGTCAGCTGGATGCCAAGGCACTGTCGGTAAACCCTCCTGCTGGCCCATTAAGGCCCCTACAGGGGTCTCTGATGGTGGAGGACCCACTGATGCTGTCAAGCATCTTCAGATAATCAAACTTTTGAAACCCCAAATCCCTGAGCTCACATATCATCCCTTAATGCTGCCTAAATCCCAGCTCCCAGATTTAGATACCAATACATTAGATATTTTGGAAACTACCTTCTCCTTGCTTAATAATTCCAACCCCACCCTTGCTGGTGATTGCTGGCTCTGCATGACAACAGGGGCAATCATGCCTATGGCAGTTCCTATTAATTCTATCATAGACAATGATAATACATGCCAACCCAGATTTCCTTTTAAAGTACAGCCTATAGGCACTTTTACATCATGTCTTTTAGGCGCGATGCAGAATAATACCTATGATATTGATGTTGGAGTTACTTCCTTTGGAAATTGCTCAACAGTAAAAAATTATTCCTCACCCACCCCATCTCTTTGTCCCCCCAATGGCACAGTTTTTATGTGTGGAGGAAACTCAGCCTTCCCCAGGCTTCCAGCGAATTGGACTGGTGGCTGTGTTCTTGCCTTATTACTCCCTGATATAACTATTGTCCCAGGAGATGAACCTCTACCCATTCCTAGCCTAGACACCTTAGTCAAAAGACACAAGCGGGCAATACAGGCCTTACCACTCCTTGCCAGCCTTGGAATAACAGCTGCTGTGGGCACAGGTATCGCTGGCTTAGGCACGGCTATACACTCTTACCGTCGCCTATCTCAACAACTTATAGATGATGTACAAACTCTATCAGGAACCATTAAAGATTTACAGGACCAAATAGACTCCCTGGCAGAAGTGGTCCTTCAAAACAGATGAGGCTTAGATTTGCTGACAGCTAACCAGGGAGGTATTTGCTTGGCCTTAGGGGAACGATGCTGCTTTTATGCCAATAAATCAGGCATAGTATGGACTAAAATTAAGCAGCTTCAAGAAGATTTAGAAAAGAGATGAAGGGAACTATTTGAAAATCCCCTCTGGACTGGGCTTAATGGATTTCTACCCTACCTTCTTCCACTATTAGGCCCTTTGTTGGGTTTACTTTTAATGGTGTCCATAGGACCCTGCATTATAAACAGGCTGGTACAATTTATTAAAGAACAGATTAATATTTTGGCCTCTAAGCCCATACAGGTTCACTATCATCGTCTGGAGATGGAAGACCGCGCTGCCAACATTTGAAAGGATGTTCTACCCTTCTCAAAGGCTTATTTCTTAAGTTTACATCCCCACAGATCCCCCTTTCTTAAAAGTGTCTTTTTACCTGAACTCAAACAAGACCAAACGAAAAAGTAAACTGTATGGTATTTACTAATTACTGGCCAGTCATCTTTTTAGGATTCTTGCTTTTCTTAGATTCTGTATTTTTTTGATCCTATAGGCAAGTTAATGTTTTCTGATCAGTTCTATTTTTGATCAATTGTGGAGTTTTTAAACATTGCAATGGAGATTTCACCTGAAAAAAAAAAACAGCTACAAGGCCTTGTGTATGTGTTACATTTGTGTTATGTGTTGTATGTCAGTATGTCTATATGTGTATATGTCCATATATCATGCAGTTATATGACAATTGGCAGATATACGAGGAGCACTCATAAAAAAAAAACGGATCCAAATATCTTTGATTCACGTGATTCAAATGGTTCAATTTAAATTGGGTAAACAGATAAAAGTAAAGATGTCTTTAAAATTAAGCTTATAAGTTTTTCTAGGTGTTCAAAAATAAAACCTAATAAAATGTTGATGTCTATGAAATAATTGCTTAAATTCAGAAATTTACAAGTATTGTTTCAAAATGTGAACAAAAAAGAAGGTTAACAGATGGAAAAGAAAAACTAAAAGGTTCTAGATATGGATTTAATAGAAGGAAAATGGTTTCTGGATAAAAAAGTCTATATGATCAAGTTAACAAAAGGGTTTAAGTAAGGGATAAAAAAGGTCTGTGTAAATTGGTTATATGTGTAAGTTTTTGAACAAGTAATCTTAAAGAAATTAAAAATTATACAACTATGGTTAAACAACAACTGTTATTTTTCAATATTATAATGTTATTTCTTTAAGAGTTAAATTTGGTTAATATAAAATCATCAATGTAATTATGGTGCTATTAATTCATATCTTCCAGGTATACAAGTCTGTAAGGTAGAAGCTTCAAAAGAGCATTATATCAAGCTGGTGTTCTGAAGTTGTATGGTAATTTTAGGCTTAAAAGAAAAACATGTTGGAGATTTATTTATATCATTTGTGTTCTATAACTCGACTTGTTATCAATAAGATATGTAAAGTTCCATGTTACTTTTACACTGAGATACAATTTAAATGTATTTTTAAGTTAATGAGAGCCTAATCTGTGTGAAGGTTTTATTGTAAAACACAAAAGTACTTTGCTACTTTTCTATAAAAGGTTAAAAGCTTTCAGCTTTTCTTTAATTCATGTTTTAGATGTGATATTATGTTGTGTTAGCTAATATTCATGTAAACTTGAACAACAATTTATGTAAGCTTTGTAAAATGATGTCTAAAAAGCAAAGATCAGCTTCAGAACTATAGTACTTAAGATTTATGAAGAGCCCGAGACTATGAAAGAAGTAGGCCAGATTTCAGTACATTTAAAGTTGTGTCCAAAATTTGGTTTTTGCCAAGATTACTAGGATCTCAAACAGGGGATTATAATGTATAACCCTGCCAAAATTCGAGGTAGCTATTATATAAACTAAATATGTTTTTACCCTAGTTAATTTTAGTTTGTAGTTTGCTTATAGGTGGTCTAAGGATTGCCCTGTTAATGTTTTGCAGAGGTACTGATTTAAGAACACACAACCTGGGTTAATTTAAGATAAGGAGTTATCATCTACAGGATAGAGAGATAGACATTAAAGCCCAGTACTTTTTATATAAGGCTGTTAAAACTTATTTGCTGGATGTTTAAGATTAAGTTCTAAAATTAAAGTTAAATTAAAAGGGCCAAGAAAACCAATATTTGGCTCTTGCCCTCAGAGGCAGTCTGAGTCAGGGAATAGGGGACTTCTCCAAAGAGCTCTGCAACTCTAGGCCACATAACCTCCTGAACAGGGAGATTAATGAGACCAGTGGAGGACAGAAAGCCAATCAGTGCATTTGCTGTGAAGAGGAGGGTCATCAGAAAAGGGAGACATCCCTGATGCTTCCGAGGGAAGCCATATGGTCAAGCAAGGCCTGGACCCATCCTAGCGCAAATGGCACTCGCAGAACTGAAAAGCTGCTGTAAGCTCCCCGAGGACTCCCAGGGAAACTCAGCTGACTGTTAACAATAGATAGAAACTTCCAAGAATAAGTAAACTGGAGGCTGCAAAAGAGATTCTCAGACAGGAATGCCTGATAACCATCAAAAGGGACTGCCAGAATAGTTTTTAGTTTAAGGCCTTTATTTCTAACCTACACAGGTAGGCTTAATGTTTGCTAGTATGGTTATCCAGCCCTAAGTAACAGAATTAAAGATTTCTCTATTAGACACAGGCCGGTAAGGTATGGTCAAATATTTTATATAAGTAAGGGGGAGATGCCAGGGACTAGAAGGGAGTTCTCCTTCAAAGAATAGCCTGACAGTTACAAGAAACAGCCCCCTGGGAGACATCCTGCCTGGGAGACACCCTGCAGCCATCTATCTCCCTGAGACATCCTGCGGCCATCTGTCTTCCTGAAACATCCTGCATTATCTCACCTTGTGAAGACATCCAGCAACTGCCGATAAGAGAGCTCCCCCATTCCCAGCCCATAAATACCCCTGTGTGAACAATAAAAGTTTGCAGCTTGATCAGAACTCCTGTCTTGCTGTCATCCTTCTGTGTCTCTTGTCCCTTCATTCCTCCCCACCTAAGTTCAAGGCCCACGTTGATGTGTCCTGCCGGTCGGGACAGATATGTTAATAATGCAGATTAGGCTTGAAAATAGTTTGGACTGTCACAAGATAAATGGTGCAGAAGAGTTGAGAGCCACAGCCCAAGCGGCCCCAGCAAACTTCCAGCTGATTGGCTCACCGCAGAGGAGCCAATCAGCTGGAAGTTTACTGGGGCCACTTTGGTGCAAAAAATATTGTTCTAAGATTTAAAGATAATCTTCATTCAGCAAAAAAGTCACTAGTGGGACTGACTAAAGACCAAATGAAGTTATAACACATCTTTTCTATACATATTTATTTTTAATGAAAAGAAGAATATGAATCAATCCATTAAAAGTAGACTAAGGGTATTAACAAAGATTTTTAAGAAAAAAGGATATAAAGGTGGCAAATAATAGGTGAAAAAAGCTGCTCAACATTACAAAACATTACAGAAGTGCAATTACAACCACAGAGAAATGATATTACAGACTTATTTGCATGGCTAAAATTTAAAACACCAGCCCTACCAAGCAGAAGCTTGTCAGGGATGAAGAATGCTCACACACTGCTGTTGGGATCACAATGGACACAACCCGTTTAGGTTACAGTTTTCCATGTTTTTTGGTTTGTGTTTGTTAAGTGAAACATTCACTTGAAGTTATTAGCAAAAGAGAAATGTATTTCCTTATTAAAAATTTATACCTATGTTCTTTGCAACTTTGTGAATACCCCAAATTGGAAAAAAATCACCTACCCCTTAACAGATCAATAAACAAATAGTGGCACATCCATAGAACAGAATACTATGTAGCAATACAAAGGGTGTCAACATCAATAAAGCTAAAAGTAATTATACAGCATGAAAAAATATTTTAAAAAAAAGCAAATACTTTGATTCCTCTCATGTAAAACTGTAAAAAAAAATTGCAAACTGATTCATAGTGAAAGAAAGTAAATCACTGGACACCTGAAGGCCTGAGGAAGGCAGGGAGATTATATGAGACAATTCTGGAAATGTTCACTATTCAGATCAGGGATACTTCATGGGCTTGTGTGTGTGTGTGTGATAACCTGGCTCAGATTATGTGTCTTAAATGTATACTGGTTATTGAAGGTCAACTGTGCCTCAGTGTGTGTGTGTGTGTGTGTGGTTAGATAAAGAGAGTAAAAGTCACCCGAGGTTTTGGAAACCAGGCATGGCAACCACCTGTTCACTCCAGTACCTCCTTCCTTGTGCCCAGAGAAGGGCAGCCTTATACTAGGCAGGAAAAAATGGTGAGCAATGAAAGCTATACTGAGACAGGAGCAGCTGCAGTTGCCTGGCCAAAAAAAGAGGGTGGGGGGAACAGCCTTTACCTCTCAGACAGGAACTTCCCATCTCCCCGACTCCACCGCATGTAGGAACTTTCCCCAATCCCTTGCTTTTTTGGCCTCCTCCTCCTTTTTTTTTTTTCATGATGGGAACTTGACAAGAGCATGAGTATCTACCGATGATGATCCTGACCACAGTGGAACATAGATTTGGAAGTAGCATGATCTGTTAGTCCTAGGATCTGGGGTGCACTTTTACAAGTAGCACGTTCTGTCTGCCAGCCCTCCACTCCAATGATCACGCCACGTACTTCTGTTCCAAGTGGTGTTGGTACCTGGTTCCTGCACTCTTGTATCAGTGATGCTGACCTATGGGATCATGGATGTCAGACTGCATGACTATAGAACCCGATGAAGTTTCCCTCAACAATATTGAGTTTTATGGGAAGTTATGTGGGAATAATGAAATAAATTCAGAGTATTTCTGAAAGTACTGAACGTGGCCATAACAACTGACCCCTCTTCAAGGTGATCTCTGATCTAAAACACAAAACAAATTCAGAGGCATTGAGGCTCCAAACTAGGACCACAAAGCCCTGCACTGTCCAATGGGGGTCTTGGGTAATAATTCATGTTAAACAAAACAGAATGAGAAAACTCTGAGAAAACTCTCTGCCACTAAGTTCTTTACTGAGACCCAAAATGAAGAGGTCCTATAAAAGCTGTCCATCTTTTAAAACAAACAGGACCCATCCATATTCTACCCACCCAAGGCTGTGAACAGAACCCCCTGATTAAAAGTAGCTCAAACAAAAGGCCTTTATCAGTCCACAAATCAGAGCAGTGCTCAACAGGAAGATACTGGTTAGTAACTTGAAATCTGTAATCATCGACTACAAGTGTCACACGAGGCCAGAATTCAATGAAGAGGACTTCCCAAGCCTCCAGCTGAGCCCGGGCTGGGTCCCCTTAGCCAGAACACAGACGCACAATAGTAAGAAAAATGGATCACTCTCATGGATCAGGTTATGGGAGATTTCCTCTAGAGAATGGGGAGAACACAGGCACCGAGGCTGTGTGTGCTGAGGTGCTTGGGGCTAGGTGGGAGACAACTCCTGTGAGAATGTGGCTGTGATTCGACTTTGGTGAGGGCAGCAGTCTAAAATGTTCAGAGCAGCTCCCATCCTCCTCACATGTGCCATGACTCATAGGGTCCTTAGCCCTCTGGATGCGTGCAAATGCATGTGGTGACCTCTTTATAAAAGCTCTCTAGCGCTGTTACAAAGACAGCATATTCCTTTGTAGGTTTAAGGCCTTTCTTGCATGGGCTTTCAGAAACTAAGCAACAGGAGACCTTGGGCTGAGGGATTCCCCACATCTACTGCCTCTGTGAGGCACTCCCATGGCGTGACATTTTTGGTGTTGAAAGAAGCTTGAGCGTTGGCTAAAAGATTTCCCACATTTGCTGCATTCATAAGGCCTTTCTCCAGTGTGAACTACCTGATGTTGAATTAAAACAGACTTTTGCCTAAAAGATTTCCCACACTGGTCACACTCATATGGTCTTTCTCCAGTGTGGATTCTGCAGTGTTGAATAAGGCTAGTGCTCCGACTAAAGGTTTTTCCACATTCACCACACTTATAAGGCCTTTCCCCAGTGTGAACTCTCTGATGTTTAACCAGGGCAGCTCTTCGACTAAAAGATTTTGCACACTGGCCACACTCATAAGGTCTTGCTCTAGTGTGAACTCTCTGGTGTTCAACGAGGCTGTAGCTTTGCCTAAAGAACTTCCCACATTCAGCACACTCGTAAGGTCTTTCTCCAGTGTGAGTTCTCTGGTGTCGGTCAAGTTTGGATTTGTACCCAAAGGACTTGCCACATTCCCCACATTCATAAGGCCTTTCTCCAGTGTGAACTCTTTGATGTCTAATGAGTGTAGCCCTTTGGCTAAAAGATTTCCTACACTGGCCACACTCATAAATCTTTGTTGTAGTGTGAATTCTACGATGTTCAATGAGGCTAAAGTTCTGTCTAAAGAATTTGCCACATTCCCTACATTCATAAGGCCTTTCTCCAGTGTGAATTCTCTGGTGTCTAATGAGGGTGGCTCTTTGACTAAAAGATTTTCCACATTCGCCACACTCATAAGGCCTCTCTCCAGTGTGGATTCTGCAGTGTTCAATAAGGTTGGAGCTTTGACTAAAGGATTTCCCACACTCCCCACACTTATATGGCCTTTCTCCAGTGTGAACTCTCTGATGTATAATGAGAGTAGCTTTCTGACTAAAGGATTTTTCACACTGGCTACACTCATAAGGCCGTGCTGCAGTGTGAATGCTCTGATGTTCAACGAGGCTAAAGCTCTGTCTAAAGAATTTCCCACATTGGCCACATTCATATGGCTTTTCTCCTGTATGAGTTCTCTGATGTCGAACAAGGTTAGATTTGCACCCAAAGGCTTTTCCACATTCATCACACTCATAAGGCCTTTCTCCAGTGTGAACTCTGCAGTGTTCAATGAGGTTTGAGCTTTGACTAAACGATTTTCCACATTCACCACACTTGTATGGTTTTTCTCCAGTATGAACTCTCTGGTGTGTAATAAGGGTGGCTTTTTGGCTAAAAGATTTCCCACATTCACTGCATTCATAAGGCCTTTTTCCAGCATGGACTCTCTGGAACGGAACAAGTGAGTATTTCTCTTGGAAGGCTGTTCCACATTTGCTAGCATCAAAACCCCCTTTTCCAGTGCAGACTCTTAGATGACGAATAAGTGTGTGTTTGTGGCTGGAAGTGTCTCTGCATGCTCCTGACTTACAATGATTTTTCCCACAGTGAAAGACCTTCCCACACTCTCTGACTGTGTTTGGCTTCTCACCTTTGGGAATGGCCTGGAGCTGAAGAATGCCCCACTTATCAGGGAAGTCCTTTCCAGTCTTCCTACAGAGGAAAGGATTCCCTGACACATGGAATATGCAGCTCTTCACAAAGGAGGCACTGTTCACTTCTCTTTTTAATGTGTTCTCTGCACTTTGATGTTTCTGTTCCTGGTGAAGGTTTTCACAGGCCCCAGAAAAGTACAGTTGCTGTCCAGGTAGATCATCCAGATGCAAAATATTCTTCAGGATTAGTATACAAATGTCACAGGGGTGAGTCTTTTGGAAAGATGGACTTTGTTTTGGAGTCCTGATGTGTGATGCTTCTTCTGCAGAAACCCTTGGCCCAGGAGGTATCCTTTCATCCTCTGCTTCATGCCAATAAACTGAAAAGAGACATACTGATGAAATGCATGTGGACTGTGGTGACAGTATATTAACCATGATTTAAGATTTTTTTTTTTTTTTTCTGTATGATTTTTTTTGACATTTTTATAAAGTGCTGCTGGTCAGGGACACTGCCCCCTCCCTATAGGGCTATCCAGTTCTTAACAGACAGCAAAGAGTTCAACTGAGAGTTAATGCAGTTAATACACTAGTTATTCAATCCAGAGCCCATCCTGCAGACCATGTTTCCCTGGCTTATACACCCCAGGAGAACAATCCTCAGCCCTAACTATCCTGGGACCAGGTACTGGATAATTAAGGCCAGTTCCCTTTCCCAGAGCCCACTGAAATCATTCCAACCCACCCATATGAGCTATTTATATCCTTTACTGACTTTGCTACAAACCCAATAAAGGCTATGTGCCCTAATATTCCCCTCTTGCTTCTGCCTCCTGACCACCTGTTGCTTACACACACCACCCTGCAAAGTGCAATGACCTCTTTCTCTCAGAACTGTCATAAATTCCCCTTTCAATGGCATTTACTTCTCCCTATTGGCCCTCAGTCACCTCTTATAATTAAAATCCACAGGTACATGTTAAGAAAATGGATGCAGCAAGCAGGGTGGCTGGGCCCTACAGCAGAGGTTCTGCTGTGATTACTGCATGCTTAGGCCATGACCATGTGCTGTCTGAGTGAGCACTGCTGACCACTGCTGTGCTTATACTTTGACTGGAACCTGCGTGGGCTGGGTCTTCCTTTTCTTGCTTCAGTTTTTTCAACCTAAATTGTTGCAGACTGACCCCACATTTCAGCACAGGGGAGGTTTTTGTGTTCCCAGTGTACCTGGGCCTAAATGCTTTAATGCAATGGGTGTCTCTAGGCCAGTGTGTTTCTGGGCGTCTTATGGTAAGAAGGTAATGGGCTCCTGGTGTAGTTCCAGGAAGTCAAAGGCCACTGACTAGCCTACAGGGTGAGAAGCCTCCAATGGAAACAAGGAAAGGCTTCCCTAAAGATCACCAAAAATGACTAGATGAGCCTGATTCACTGAGCAGACAGCAGATAGCAGGTCACCATGACTGATAGCAGCAATGAGCCCAAGGGGTGTTCCTCATTTATTGTACATCCTATTCTTTACCTTAGTAAAAGGTCAGTCTGGGCAAGAAAATTCCTAGTTGACACCCCACTAGAACCATGACTGAATGTCTATGGCCTGGGACACTGCATGCTTAGCGGGAAATCTGTTGATTGCCCAGGTCCATCCCTACATACCACCCACTGGGTGCAGGTGCAGGGACCCCTTCCTACCACATGATCCAGGAAGTGCAGATGCTCCAAAGGCAAATCCTGGGGTTGCTTTAACCTGGTGCTATTATGCCTCATGGAAGGAAGGGTAGTTCCATGTTTGGAAACCTGCAGCTCAGTGTCTAATGAAAACATGGAAAAGGGCAAGGAATATTTATTTCACCTCCTCCTAAGACACTTGAGAAAATTTCTCAGCTCATTAGATTGTAAATCTTCTGGTTAGTGGGCTTGGGCACATTTAAGTGCTGCTACTTATTAACGTGGTAAGAATTTCCCTTCAAACTAAACAGTCAAAAAACAAAGAATTTGAAAAATAAGCTAAGCTTCTATTGCTCTCCAGGATGTCAACTCAAGGTACTGCAAGGTGGATTAGAACACCCTAAGAGGGGAGACCTCCATTTTCAAGGTGCCATTCCTGCCAACAGAAGCTTTTCAGATAAGTATCCCACCTGACCACAGCGGGGTGGCACAGTTGACCATGCTGCAGGCAGAGGCCATCCAGGGAGAGGCTATTGCCTGCAGAACCCAGGCTCCTTCCCACCTCCTATTTGTCAGAAATGGAAACTATAAACCCAAAGCTTCAGGGAGCTAAAAGCCTAAAGAAGAAAATGAACAAAATATAAGAGAGAAAGGAAAAAGTCCATGAAAACAAGAAAAACCCAACCTGCTAGGGATAGGGAGAAGATAATAATTAAATAAATTATTAATGTGTAAGTTTATATTTTCAATTTAAAAAACTAACAAAATTTTAAAAATTGCATTTGTCACAACCCCCCCCCCCCCCGTGCTAAAATGTGGGGTCAGTCTGGAAGAATTTATAAAATGTCAAAAAAATCAAACAGAAACAAAAATCTTGATAAATTATGATAATGTGCAAGTTTATATTTTCAATATAAATAGACAGCAGAAAAATTGCATTTGTCACAAAATTAAAACCAAATTCCATAATTTTAACACAATTTTAAAGCCAAAACTTGCATATGAAAGAATGTAAACAAAAAGATGAGAGGATTGAAGGTATACCCTCAGCGATAGAGTGTTTGTCTAGCATGAATATGACCCTCCACTGGAAACAGGGAAAGGCTTCCCTAAAGATCACCAAAAATGACTAGATGAGTCTGATCCACTGAGCAGACAGCAGATAGCAGGTCACCATGACTGATGGCAGCAATGGGCATCCTTATGGTAAGAATGTAATGGGCTCCTGGTGTAGTTTAATCCCCAGCACTGGGCTAGGGGGATGGTAAAGATTAGAAGGGTGTTGATGGGTATTTGTGCTTCTACAAATGATTCTAAATTAACTTTAGTATTTATTAAAAGGTATCAATTTGACAAATTTCACAAATCAATCATTATTGGGGCTGAAATTATACTTGGAAATTGCCCTTAATTTAAACTCTGTACTTTCTACAATCTTAATAAAAGTAACCAAATATAAAATAGGAAGACAGGTATATCTTATTTCAATTTTAGTATTGTATAAAACTTCCTGATTTAGTATCCACTACCTGAAAATATTCCATATTGGACGTAGATGCTCTAACATATAAATAAGTTTAAAGTAAATCTTTGACACAAACTAGCTTAGCAAAATGGTGTTCAAAAGGCCCTCCGTGTAAAACAGTTAACATAGACTGGGGATGTTTCTCAATGGTAGTGTGATTGCTTAACTTGTGCAAGGCCCTAGGTTTAATCCTCAGCATCAACCTCCCCTACCTCCAAATAGCCCAAAGCCCAGAGTAAGTTAAAACAGGGTTTTCAAGGATTAAAAATTTACTATATAAAATCTAATTATCCATACTGCTTCTCTATTTGACAGTCCAATTGTGTCTGTTCCTAAACTTAAGGCTTCCAAATGATGAGTGTCTTTTGTATGCTTATGAGATGACAACTTGCTGGAGTCCCTGCCGGCTTCAGATTGTGGGTGTCCCAAAAGACCAAGACCTGACCTGAGGGTTGGAACTTCCAGCCTCATCCTCATTCACTAGATTAGGGAGAGGGGCTGCAGATTAAGCTAATCATCAATTGGCAATAATTCGATCAACCAGGCTAGGTAGTGAGAATGCCATAAACACCCTACAGTGAGGATTCAGAGAATCTCTGAGCAGAACGGATAGTGGCATGCTAGAAAGGGCATGAATGTTCCCTCTGCCCATACCTTTTCCTGTGCATCTCTTCCATTTAGCTATTCCTGAGTTGTATTCTTCCAAAAGTATTTTTCTAAGTTGTGTGAGTTATTGTAGGAAAATCAAATCTGAGGGTGTATGTGGGACCCTTGAATTTATAATTGCCTAGGCAGAAATAAAGTAGTTTGGGCACCCCATTTGTGGCTGGCATATGAAGTGGGGCAGTCTTTTGGGACTGTACCTTTAACTGTTATTAACTCCCACTATAAAAGTCAGAACTGAATTGAAATGCAGATCCCCAGTTGGTGCCTGGAGAGTTGGAATGCTGGTTGCAAGTTTAGTAAAAATACCCCAGACTCCAAAACCATTCTCCCTTCTTGGTTAGACACAATGCCACCAGTCTCTATAAACAGGTCAGCTCATGTCCTCTACCACACATCTATTGGACCTGCCAACTGCACCAGAGCACATTTTCAACACACTGTATACCTCCTGAAAGATACTATTGGAGAGCCCCACAAAAAATTCATATTTTTGGCTAATGCCATATACATAAAACAATTAGTGAAGCACTGCCCCTCAAGACTCTGTATCCTTCTATCTGTACTCCTCCTTTCTTTTCTTTTTTTTTGTTTTTGTTTGGAAATGTGAATTCATTATAACACAATTGACACAATTTGAATTTTGTGTTTTCTTATGCACAATTTTTATCTGTGCAAAACACAAGATGAATGCAGAAAGCTGCACCCACCTGAAATGAGTCATGTGGTAATATACGAAAAGCACACAGCCATACATCTAAACATCTACCAACTACATCAGTTAACCACCTATGTTATGAACAAGACCCACCCTTACCCACCCAATTTAAGGTAACTTCCCTTCCACCATTTCACAGGAATACATAAGCTACAACTTTTTTGACACCCAGTCCTACCAGCAAATTTAGGTCTATTCCAAAGTAAATAAAGTTCCATATTTATGGTAATATCTGTGATTTCCTAACCATGTAATCCATTGTACTCCTCCTTTCTTACTCTCATAATTAAGTATTTCTATTCTGTTCAGGGCAACTTATGCCCTGCCTCCAAGACTTCTCTACTACCATTACCCCCAGGCTTCCTTAATGTCAAAATATCAGAGGACTAATTGTAATGTGCATAATATACATTAGGTGTGGGCCAGTTCTGGAAACATGGCTGAGGGGCCTTGTAGAGGCACAAGTAATACACAGAGACCAGGAAGGTTGGGGTGGCCAGGAGCCAGCAATCACAAGTGAAAGGGCAGGTGAAAAAAGTGTTGAGCATGAGAAGAAAAGAGAAATGAGGCGCTGGCCACAAGCCTGCATACCAGAACACTGCTAGACACACTGCAGGTTCTGGCCTGACCTGAACCCTACTGCCACCAGCAGGACAAAGACCTCTCTGAGACCATGTTACCATGTCCACCTTGTCAAACAGCTAGGACTCTCCCCATCCCCTGTCTGTTCAATTACATGGAAAGTGCATGATCTAAGTGTCAATGAAAGAGGGACAGGTAAGTAATCAGAAGTGGCCCAGAGCACTCAACACACAAAAGATCATAAGAAAAAAAAAAATCAGTATTACAAAAAGTCTGGAAGGAGGACCTGAGGACACAGTTCATGGTCCACATAAGCACTGATCATGACAATGCCTACAATTCCTGATAGAGACAGGATGAGAAAATCCTGGCTAGTAGGAGGCAGAGCTAGAGCAAAAGGTCTCATGGATATGAACACTGGCCAAGGGAAGGTCGAGGCAAGTGAGATCCATGAAGCTGATGGCACAGTGCCTGCCACCCAGACCTCCATGAATGCTCTGGGGCAGCAGGTGTTAGGCTGCTCAGGCAGCACACATGGCTTGGCACTGGCTCCCACAGCACACATGTCAACACAGTGGAAAATTAGCAGAGCCCATGGTCTGGCAGAGCTGCCTGTGGGGGGAGAGAGGACAGACAGAAACCTGGACAATGGTAGTATAAGGATCTTACCCAGAGAGGTTACAAGTGCAAAGTTTTCCAGCATCACGTGAAGGTACAGCAGCCTTTGAGCCTCATCAAGGAGCCCCCACTCCTCCTGGGAGAAGTAAACAGCCACGTCCTCAAAGGTGACACAGCTCTGTCATGACAGGACAGATCATGCAATAATCAACTTCTCTCCTAGGAGTCCAAGCTCATCCACCCACACACCTTCCCTACCCACTCTCCTCCCTGTCTTGTGCCTCCATGGAGATGCCACACCAAGTGTCACTCACTCTCACATCATGGTCCCTCTATCACTGTTTCTTCCCACAAAACCAACAGGCAGGTGGGCCAGGAGAAGTCATGTAACTCTGGATCTGGTAACTTGGGGTGGCACCCACGTTTGCCAGGCTGCTATCCCAGGATTCCCCAGATCATACTTCCCCCACACAGACACATATGAGCATACCTTCACCCTTGTGTCTTCCATGCCAATGCCAACAGGTCTCTCTCCCGCACCATGTGCTCATCCCTTCTCACGCAGACAGTCTCAGTCCCCAGGTGCCTCCACCCCAGCATCACACCACAGGCCTCTCCCTGGTCTCCCCACATTGCTTGGAACAAGGCATCCAGAGAGCGTGGCAAACTGAGACAGGATCCATGCCCACTGACATAGGCAGCCCCATCCTGCTCTGTACTTCCTGGCCTGCCTGCTGCTTGCTCCAGCCTCTGTCACCGGGAACCACCTGGATAATCACCAGACACTGATGGCCTTTTCTCCCACTTGTGCTGCACTTGATGCCCCCTCATCAGTCACAGCCTTTCTCTCTCCTCAAACCATAATTCAAGACCTTGCTCCAGAGGCCCTCCACTCCAGGCCTGGTGACCTCCCAGATGACCTCTTGTGTCCCTAAGCTAACCCACTAGCCTTACTAAAACCCCCAAGCATATCGAGGGTCACTCCTAAATCCCAGCGAGCCCAAAGTCTGAAGAACAAACACAAGTATTGGCCACCCCATCATGTTGCCTCAGTTATTTTGAGTTTCTGTATGACTCATGTCCACTCTTCCCATGGGAGCCTAGACATCTGCCAGACCAGCCACCTCCTCACACAATTCCCACAGCCACTTCATGTCCTCAGCTGTGTCTGTGATGACCACCAACTGTATTCAGATGCTCAGGCATGGGAACCAATCATGGACCCCACCCTCCCTTTCCAGGGCTGCTTCTGGCATTACCATTTAAGTCTAGGATGTGCCTCCTAATTGTAATTCAAGGTATATATCTCATGACAAACATCTGTCGCCACTTTTTAGATTTATTTTTTTTCTTTTTTGCAGTACTACAGATTGAACTCAGGACCTCACACAGGCTAAGCAAGTGCTCTACCTCAGAGCCAAATACCTAGCCCTGTATATTTCCATTTTTCAATTTGCTGCAGAGTTCCACATTTATGCAGTCAGCTACTAACTAGACATTTCCACTATTGCTTTTAAACATCTCACTCTTTTAAGATAGCCAAAACAAAACTCCTGATACTACACAATGAAAATCAAACCAACTATCAACTTTAACATTCTGGTTAGTGGAGATTCTACCCTTCCAGCTGCCAAAAACAATGGAATCACCCATCTTTTTCTACTTTTTTCTCACTCTTAAATATGAAACCCAAGGGGTGTGCAGCTTAGTGGTAAAGCATTTGCCTAGCATGTGTGAAGCCCATGGTTCAAGACCCAGCACCACAAAACATAAAATGAAACACCCTAATGAAAAACCAATACAGAATCCAGCCACGCCTGGATTCTGGCCACTCTGGCCACTCCAGTGGTCCAGCCACATCAATTCTTACTTGAGCACAACCATAGTCTGTTTTTGCTGCAGTCACATTAAGCCTAATAAGATCTGGCCGGATAACCTTCCTCCTATGCTCCAAACCTCCCACTGCTCCCATCACTTCCAGAATAGACTCCTAACATTCCCGACCTGACTTCTGCACCCCTGCTCTGATGTTCCATAAGAATGAAAGGAAATCTATGGTCCCGAACAAGCTCAGTCTCATACCCAAACATTTCCACATTCTTGGACCTATTCCCGGGGTACCCCTTCATCACTCATCCCATTGGTTACTACTAGTTACAACAGAAACCATCCCATACGGCCTCAGCCTAGGTTATGACCTTGTTTTGCTGTTTCTTCCGAGTTCCCAGGTCCAGCAGTGTCCGCGTGGCAGGCAGAGACCCAGGACACAATTCCATGGACTGAGAGCGGGGCACCAACGAGGCCCTGGAACCGACTCCACTTACCTGCATCCAGTCCATAAGCGCTTCCGTGGTCAAGGGAATCTGTGGGAAGAAGGTTGTGAGGGGCAGGAGATGGTGGCAGGACTTCCTGGGCGCAGGACCCCCGTTCCCGCCCAGCCAGGAGTTGCGGAGTCCGCATTATCCCTGGCCCGGTCCTCGGGCTCGCTCTTCCCAGCTGGGGACCCCGCACAGGACTCCACCTTCCTGGCTGCAGTGCGGGCCCCTTCTCAGGCCCTTCAACTCTGAGCAGCTCCTGGACCACCGACGAGCCGGACTCAGACCGTGTCCTCCTCTAGCCTCGCTCTCCGCCTCGCCGCACCTGCCGTCGGCCGCCCGGGCCCAGACGCGCGCGGTCCCGCGGCAGGACCCGAAGGGCGGCGTGACGCGCAGATGGGCGCAGCCCCTCCCGGGCCGGTCCCGCGGGGCCGGGCCGCCGCGACTCGAGCCTGCCGGGGGCAGCTGCGGGGTCACCCTGCCCGCGCCTTCGCCATCCCCTCACCTCGACCCCGACTCCACGCCCCACAACTTCCAACGGCGAAAACGGTTCCCAGGAGCGCCTACGACGCACCAGGCAGCGACGCCGGAAGTCCCGGACAGAGACCTGCCCGAAACAGGAAGCGGCCGCTCATTGGCTCAGCTCTCCGCCACTCGGCCCCGGGCATTGTGGGTAACGTAGTTTCCATGGCCCCGCAGCCGTGCTGAGGGATCCTTGCACCGGGACCGGGGTCCATTAGTCCTGCCTCCCTGGGTCCCCGTGTTGTCCCCACCGGCCGGCCGGGTCCTCGATGTGCACCGGGGCGCCGCCAGCCCCCCTCCCCCCCGTGAGGCCACGTGGGGTCGGAGCGGTCACAGCGCGAGTCCCCTCCTGAGCCCCGCCGAGCCCAAAATGTTACCCGGCTCTGGTCGTGTGCAGAGCGGGTCCCTGGCCGACCTCCCACCCCGCCTGGTCCTGCTGGAGTTGAGGACAGTCTCCTTGCAGGTCAGAAGTCCCTCTTTAGTGGGCTTGTTGAAACCTGCTGGAGATAAGAAGCTGCCTCATAATATTCCGCCCTTTATTAGCCTGTCCCTCCTTCGTTTCCTCCTGACTCCCCACGGGGTGAGAAGTGTGTTTGCAAGTTTATCTCCCACTTATATTCTCTCTCTCTCTCTCTCTCTCTCTCACACACACACACACACACACACACCATAAGTCAAGGGAAGCTCTTCCAGGTTTTGTGGACATTAAAAATACGGTTTGCCTTACTTCGTTTGAACTGAATGCTACATCTGATTAAAAAACCAAATTCGATTAAAAGGTCTTATCAATCAGATAGTTCTCCAAAGTATAACATCTTGATCTACTACGCCAAGAATTTTCATTTATAAGACCATTTCCCTGTCATGAGTGAGCTATTAACGTAGAAGGAGCATGTTTGTGTCTTTCCACAATGTCATAATTTATTGAATGACAATTAAGTCACAAACGACGCCATTTTCATTGGTTAGTTCACAGAATAATTGTGTGTCACTGAGTGGTCATAAGCCAGGAAATCACAATCTTAATTTCTAATGAAGGGTTAAGGCAGTCACATGAGTCCAGAAAGCTAAACTGAGAGCAAAGGCCTTAGCAGATACCAATGCAAAGAGTCACTGTCGTGGTCATGAATAGATAGGACAGACAGATGGTGAAACAGGCCGTTAGGCCAATGGGCACCCTAAAGACTTCTGTAAATGTAAAGGCCAATCCACGAAATTAACCTGTAGAAACATTCCAAACATTCCAGCCAATTCCTTTTCTGAGTGAAGGCTACAGACTCAAGGGCTAAAGGCACAACAGCCAATCAGAAGGTCACAGGCCAAACCAATAGCCTTGGCACTTCCCAATACTTGATCAGCATAGTTAGTGAGCAGTGTCCCCACAGAGTAGCTGCATCATCCCCTAGATAGTACACGTGGGTGGAAAACCGCTGTTTCTTTTTTTGAGTAATTTCTACTCTTTCATTTCCACTCTCCATTGTCCATGGATTTTATTCTTCTAAACTGTGAGGCAAGAACCCAGAAAGAAGTCACTGGCAAGTGGCTGGGGTCTGCTGAAACGCTAAATAGGCAATTGTCTGCTCTGGAGGGTTACAACAAAGTTAGACCCTTCTTGTTCCTGCAGCACCAACAAATTGGGTCCTGCCAGCTAAGACCAGTCACTAATGCCAGTGGGCAACCCCTGCTGTGAGTAGCTGCCATGGCACAGAGGGCTACAGCCCACTGGCACCGACAGCAGCAGAGGTGAAGAATTCAGTTTCAGTCAGATAAGATTATGAACAAACCAAAGAACTTGTGCTCTGAGCTCAGGGCTGTCAAAGAACAGGAACTTATTCTAGGTCCAGGTCTGGACAGATGGTAGATTCACAGTGTCAGCTTGGAGTGGACTGTGTGCGGTCAATACGAGCAGGAGACGTTGCACTCTGCTAAAGCCCAAGGACGAGATTCAGAGGTTCTTCAATGTGATTTTCCTGAGCGAGGCTTGTGAAAAATGACCAGGTGACAGGGTTAGGGTGCTGTCATGTCCAGTCTTGAGGGACTCCTCCTTTTATGGACCCCAAGTGAGGGGCGGCTTCATTCAGAGGTCTGGTATGCTTGATAAGCTTGTGGACTTGTCTTTCTGGTGTGGTTTGATATACCATGCACCTATGTGCTTCTGATTAGTTTGATAAGTTCATGGGTGGTCATTTTTACTGTCACAGTTAATTTATCAGTTTGTGCCTTTGGTGGTGGCAGGCAGATGGTGGTTGTTTACTGGTACCAACAAGGTGTAGTCATTCCACCTCAGCACATAAAATGGGGTGGCTTGTGGAAAACTGCTCTATAAATGGAGTAACTCAGATTTAGCTTATGTTTTATACATTATGGAGTAACTCACAGCAGGCCACACTCCTGCTGACTAGAAAAATAGGGAACGATATTAAAACTACATAACACATATCATCTTTAAACCTACTGCTTTCACTGGGCCTTTGCTTACTCCCTTCTCGGTGATGTTTCTAGATAACTTCTGTGTCTTTGAGACATAAGTTTTCTACTTTGCTTCAACAAAGTCACTTTTGGAAGTGCAGATTTGGGGTGTGAGGACTGTTAACACTATAGGCTAAATCTTAAGCAATAATGCAAAGAATTTAAGCTGTGTTTTGATGAGAAAACTAAAAAGTCTGAAGTATTTTTATCCTATTTAGAAAAAGAGTAATTTAGGGCTGGGATGTATCTCAGTAGTAAAGCCCTTATCTCGCATGTGCAAGACCCTGGGTTCAATCCCCAGAACCACAAAAAAGTAATTTTTTGAATTCATAAATGTTCTAAGGATTGCATCAAAATGCAAATTTTTAAAATGTTAAGACAAATAGAAATTAGTGAATAAAAAGAGATGTAAAAAAGTTATAAGCATGATGGTATATTTTGGTGAAGAAAGTTAAAAGGAAAAGGGAATGTTTTTGGATTAGAAAGAATTTTTTTGTGGAAAAATGAGGGTTTTTTCCCATAAAAAATGACTAGATTATTCCAAGTTGGGAAAAATAAAGATAGGAAAAAACTAAGGATTTAAACAAGTTGTCTTAGTAAGTCATAGAAGGTTTATAAAGGAGAAATCTTATACATTTTTGCGATTGTTACCAGAGGTTGAGAGTCAGCTGTGGAGCACTATATACTCAAGAAAAGGCACCAGGGGCTGCAGTGTTCAAGGAGAAAGACAGACACGTCCGAGCAGTCCCCAGCCATGCCTGTGGTGTCTTAGTCTGCTCAATGCAGCAAGTCTGTCCGAGTGGCTCAGGCACCATGAGTCAGGCCCTCAGTGCCTTCAAAAATTGCAAGGTACACTTCAGGTACAATCTGACTCTCAGAAGATCCCTGTCTTCAGTGAGAGAAGGCATTAAATACACTCATGTAGACTTACTAATTTAAAGGTTTACTATCAATAAAGTGGGTTCCCTGGTCCACTTCTCTACCACACATTTGGAAACTTAATAAACTGATTGCTGTCTGATAGCCCCTGTTTGTAGAAAAACCAAACAGAACAGTACAAAACAAGATGGGCTCTGAGGCACAGTGCAATGTGGGTCAACAGTAGAAAGCAAAAGTTTTCAGCCACAACAGACCCATATTCCTAGTCCCACTAGCTCTTCCAGGAATCTCTTGTTCAGCCTGCCCTGAGAATACTGCCATTCTGCCCATGGGCACAGTCCACCCTCAAGCCAGAAGGCTCCGATGACAGAATTAGCTGAGCCTCAATCCTCAGTGCTGTTACTGCGTGTGACACTGCACAAGAATTCAACTTCCTGGTGCCTAATCTGTGTTTCAGGCTGTTGTGTGAGCAACTTTTGGAAACCTTGTAAAAGCCTAACTTACATCATGGGCCTAATCTGTCCACAACACACCACAGTTTATGGTGCCCTGAGAATAAGGTAAAATGCCTCACCTGGTGTGCATACTCCAAATCCAGTCACCAAGACATCACACACACTGGCCTCTGTCACACTCTGCCACACATTAGACTTGGGTTCAAAGGAGACCTGGAACACGAGGTCCTCCCTGTTTTGAACACAGGGACCTGAAAGAGGATGACACTACTCCCTTTTAGACTCAAGTACTTGGCGTGGAAAGGCAGCTGCAGTGACCACTGTGGTAGGGCCTCTTCCTTTCTTCACCTCTGGCTGCACAAAAGATCCATCTTGTGGACCCACAGGTAACTGCCGATATGGTGCCACAAACACGAGGCTGGAAGCCCTGCCCAGGGCACATAATTTGAACAGAAGCCCTCCTTCTGAATGTCCACTGGTCTAGCAGCCTCCCAGAGAGGTGGAGCATTCTGGGTGTGGAGGAGGCATGGATCAAACCACATCAGGAGCCTGGGCTTTTGACATGGTGGTCAGAGTGAGGGGTTGGTTCCTAGTGGGGCTGTGATGGGATTCCTGGGTGGGATCTCTGTGCTGAGCACCCAAATGGCTCTGGGCTAAAGGTAGAGCAGAACATCATGC